TAACAAACATGATGCCTCTGAGGGAGGGAAATGGTGGGGCTCCCTTTTCAAAGGGGCACAGGAGCTGAGATTAGTTACCAGATGTGAATTACAGATGGAAACTGGTATTTAACAGGCAGTGTGGTGCCTTCCCCTCCTGTCCTTATTCCTCACACACCAGGACAGTTGCAAATCTGTGAGCCATGGGGAGACACAGCTGATGGGATCTGTGGAAGCCCATGGACAGCTCTGTGATTTCCCACAACCACCCCATTTCATGGACACCTCTAAGAGAAGAACCCTTCCTAAGCTTTCTAAGTCCACAGATGTACTGACAAAGGACCTGCTCACACGGTAAATCAACTGGGAGGAATCACATCCCTGTGGAATTCAAAGCTCCAAGAAACTGGGTGGAAGATTCACAATGTTCTTCTCCCAAACCTGGACTGCTCTCCATACCTCCTCACCATCCAGAAAACCTGCTATTGTTAGGGGACACACTTTGCTGTTTTGCTGCTTCATGGAAAAGGAGAAGAACTTGTGGGAGCATTGACAAAAATACTTCTGGGTGATGGAGGAGGATGCTCCAGTCCTCTGTCATTCTGGTTGGGTTCTTACTCTGTCAAGTATTAAGAGAAATATGTGTCATGTTCTCCATATCAGAATTTGCACAGTGTTTGTTCTCATGCTAAATGCTGCTCTGGCCTGCAGTGTCAAAGATCTCCTGGTAATTTTTACACAGCCATGGCATCAGAGGAATAGTGCATTTAAAGGCATTGCAGATACCATACTAAAAAAGACATACAGATTAGATCATTTAAGAATACAATTTTTTTTTCACTAATTCAAAGTTCTGGACACTACAGAAGAGATTTCCCTTAATGGTTACCCTGCAACATCTGGGATATTCATTTAGAGCTGTCCCTAAGGAAATACCCCTCTCTGTGGTCTGAAAGCCTTAACACCATGAAGTTTAGGAGTCACATGCTTTGCATAACACAGATTAATGTCACAATTCAATAAATAGTGCATTGTGGTGCTTTATTAGTGTTAGACATGCAATATTTATTTAATGAATAGAAATTAAAATATTAAGATAACATTTTCATCAAATTAAAGGCTCTGAAGTTGCAATAATGGAACAAAAATAAAGTTTTTCATGCATTCTAAGTTTATAGTTCTCACAAGTGCATATAGTTATGATTCTGTACCATTATTAAATGTAGACAAACTACCATTGATGCACAAGACAAAATAAAACCCTTAAGTTATAAATAGAGATCCTATCCTTTACAGACTTCCTATATAACCTGGATCTTCAGCTTTTTATAATACACTGTAATACATCTGGAAGCTTCTAAGATGAATAGGAATGGCTCAACCACTTGTAACATACAGTGGCTTCCTCAACATAGAAATTATAAAAGATAAAGCAAATGCCCACCATGCTTTAGGGGACTGTGACCTTTTCAACAGAAACAAACTTCAAACCCCTTCATAAACAGATTAAAGTGCTACCTATTGCATATTAAATACTTCCAGTGACTGTATTGAAATTTTTAAGTTACAAATCCCTGAAAATAGGGTTTCCTACCAAAAGTGCTGACAGACCCTTAAATCTAGCATCATGAACACAGCAGAGCTATAATCCCTCAGCAAGTACTTCAAAGAAGGGCAAGTTAGCCAACATGCTCTAAATTCACCATTGGAAAAGCCCAGCTAACACCTCTATCATATCTACAACAGCAAGGGTACAAAGAGCAGAACAGCATCAGCTCACTTTACATACTTGATGTAGGACAATAATCTTTCTTTAAAGCTGGAAGCATAAATAAACCCCCAGTGCAGCAGTAAACACATTAAGACAGCAGTTCTGTTTGTTTTAAGATGCACACAAGAAAGGGCATCCTGTACAGAAAGAAATGCAGGCTATGAGCATGATTTTCATCAGGTCCCCAAATCATGAAACCTTTCTAAATACAAGGCAGCATTTCCACAGCTGGAAAATTACAAATAGTTCTTGACACAGAGCCAACAGCAATAAATGCAGTTATAATCTAGAGAGAATGCTACATTCATTAGGAGGTGGAAAACCAAGCTAAACTTAAAATACAGCAGCAAGAGGTAACATACATAAATATTAAACATCCTTCTTCAATGGCAGAAAGTTTACATTTCTGACTTAAAACATTAAAGTATGGCCTTCATATTTGTCCTTTTAAGAAAGCAAAATACATGGCAGAGCTGTTTTAAGGGATAATTTCAAAATACAGTGCATGCATGGATGAACTCTTATGCTAATTTAGGAGAGAAAATATCAAAGTAATATGGAGATACTCAAAATTTTCATCCCTGTATTTTAAAGGGCAAGAAAGACTGACCACAAGTGGCAAGTTTTTATGGGTAAAAATGATCTGCAAGAAAGTCTACAATTTTAATCTTATGGGAAAAACAGAACTTCCTTTGTTTTCAACATACAAATTACTGTATGAGAAGTAATGTTCAAAAAATGTTCAAAAAATACATGTGAGGTAAAGATGCTTTTATAAAATAATAGAATATACGAAAATGCTAAAATTTTGTTTCTAAGCAGAAAGTGATGTGTATGTAATCTTTCAAGAATTCTTCTGAAAGTAGCCTGTATTTTTACCTATAAACTGTATAAAAATATCTTCATAATTTTCATGTCCCATTCTGCCTCTCAGTAACTTTACCTTTTTCTAAATTGCATTTGTTGTTCTCTCCTCTTTCTTGACAAATTGCTAGAAACAAAAGGTGCTTTTTTTCACTCAGAGATCAGATAAAGACTAGATAGCACATTCAAAGCTTCACTAAATTTCTTCACTAATGCACAAAAATTGATCTTTTCGCTACCTTTAATCTGCTTATCGTTCTTGGTATGCAAATATGTCAAATGATCTGCTTTTAGTCAATTATGCAGTTTGATATTCTACATTTACATTCTAAAAGAAGTGATTTCAGAGGTGCTAAATATAGTAGAGTTTCATTTTAATAATTATAAGTTGGCTTGCATGTGAGAAGTCGCTTGAGCACATTCTCTGGTTAGTGCAGCTGTTAATCCTCACTGGTGGGGATGGTTTAAGCACTGTGGATACTAGGCATGGTCTCATACCAGTTAGCTGAAGATGAGTGTGGAATTCAAAACTATTGCAGAACAATTCCCCATCAACAACAGGAGAAAACCACTGGCTTCGGCCAAGCATTTGAAAATGTTTAAGAACTTTTATGGAAATACTGAGTAACTGAAACACATCCTGGTGTAATTAGAAAATGAACATCTAATTGAGTGTAAACCCCAACTTCTATCAGCAAGCATACCATGAACTAGCACATGACCTTTGGCACTTTGAATGTATTACAGCAAATTTACAGTCATCGAGATCTTAAGTGGGTGCAAAAAAAAAACATTCACGTGGTGTCTGAGGTACCAAGCTTGATACATCCTCAGGCTGACAAGAGAGAGAGAGACTGCCTGGTGTGGGATGGATTTCTGCACTGCAAAACACAAATGCAGAGCTCTAGAGCTGGGCAGGGCTGGCACCTCTCAGGATCCATCCAGGCACAGGGATCCACACGAAGGGACCCCACTGGTGGGTTGGGGACTCTGGCTGCACACATTTTAGGGACAGTGTAAATGGGGATTGGGAGGTAGTTGCTAAATAAAAGAAGAAAATAAAGGAGAAAAAGCCAAAAATAAGTAAATGAAATCTGAGACTATTTGTACAAAGTTTTTTTTGTAACTAGAATACTTCTGTGCTGTCCTATAATACTAATGATATCAAAAGCAGACAGACAGAACTTTCTCAACCCTTCCACATATAAGTATTCAAGATATTACCAATTTCTACAGTTTTATAAATGAAAATGTATAAAAATCTTTTACAACAACAACAACAACAAATTGGAATTTAATTTCAAGCTTTTTTGGTCACCTCAGCAGCAGCCATGCCATGGTGCTGTAAAAAAACCAAACAGATCAGGTGCAGAAACAGAGGAAAAGACAATTATCTTAAATCCAAATCTAAAATATTCTCTGTACGTGCTTTAAATAACATTTTACTGTTTCACAGCAACAGAATATCCAAGTAAGACTCTTATTAAGGAAACTAAAATTAAAATGTATTCATCTTAATATTTTGAGGGTTCTCCTACAGTATTTTCCCATTATACCTTCATCACTATATTTTTCCAATTCATTGAAAAACAGATACCTTTTTCATACATCATTTTACAAACAATTATTAAATGATCAGGATATTTACTACATTCTTCTTTCATTTTTTCTCAGTGAGAACTGACTTTTAGAACTATTTACATGGAATACAGACATTTTTCATGAAAAGCCTAAGTACTCTATATGTGTTTAAGCAACATGGCCTATTTCTAAAGGCATATACTTTGTTGTCATAAGATTTAAAAAGTTAAGACACATATATCATGTAAAACTCGACCTTAAATTGATTTATCGTGTCTATTTAAGTCAGCCTCTCCATTTCTGCTACATTTTCATGGCAGTAGATTTTGACTGAAGTATTCATTTCTTTATTCCATACTTGAGTTCTCCAGTTGTACCTCTGACTCTGTGAACACTGCTCAAAGTACTTTTAACACATGAAATGCATGCAGTAACTTCATACAAAAAGATCCTCTAAACAACTTTATGTCATGAGCTCACTACCAAAGTTCACTCATTATACACAAAATTCAGCATTTAAGTGTAAAATAACTGGTTCCAGCATGTGCCATGATAGAAATGGCACAGGGTTTTTTCTTTTTACATTGTTCTATAAAAAGCACATTGTATAGAATATAGCATTTACTCTGCAAGGATCGATTGTGCATCACTGTTCTCCTCTAATATGTGCAGGACTACATTCCATTGCAACAAACCACACTTAGGTTTAGTAGAGTACTACACTGGATTGAAAACAGTGGTCTTGATGGCATGCTGTAAAAAAAAGATATACGATAACAATATATTCACCTAATACCAATAATCATTCAAGAAAACATTCATAACAGCACAGGCTTCTCTGTTGAAACTGCCACATGGTGAACACTAAGCTATTATATAAACTGCATGGACATATTTATTATGTATCATTAACTCTATTTTAAGTATTCTGTACCTAAATGTATTTTCAAAAAGAAAAAAAAAAAGGTACCTAAGTAATCTAACATAAAACAACTTTTGGCAGCCCCTGCTAGTGTTTGGATTTAAAAAAAAGGAAAAAAACCCACGCCATTGTCCCTCCTCCCCATTTTGCTGGGATTTCTTAGGAGAAAAGGAATGAAGAGAAGACAAAATATTAAAGTGTGATCTCCTTCCACTAATGCATTCAGCAGAAAGCAGCAGTATCTCAGCTTTTGGAAAATTTGCCAGCTTTCCGAGAGGGTTCATATGGCACTCTGAGAATACTGGGGGTCTCCTCCATCACTCGCACCAGCAGATTGTCAATGTAATCCTCCAGCTCTCGGATGTGGCTGTCCTTCTTCTTCAGCTGCTCCTTGTGTTTCACCAGCTCCTGCAGCACCTCCTCGTAAGTGAGGTTTCGGTATCCTGCAGTGGCATCAAAAGGATTTCCTTCCTGCAGGTAAGTGTGGAAAAACACCAGATTTCATTAAGCACTTCAGTGTGTCCAGAAAATTAACTGGTTATTGCTTTCTGTGTTTCTCATGTGCATCTCTTGATGTGAAAAGCAATTTTTTTCAGCAACACCTCTGTTTGCTGCAGTGCTTTTCCCTCCAGCACCCCCAGTGGAGCAGACAACTGGAGATGGGCTGCCCAGCTGGATGAACATTTCCCACTCTGTCATCTCAGAAAAAAAATCTCAGTGAGGTGGACACACAGACAGTGTGTCAGAGTTAGTGACTACATGAGCAGTGAGCACAACAACAGCTGGCAGGTCCATTTTGGGAAACCAACCCCCTTAATTATGGAATAACAAGAGAAGAGCCCTGAGAATTCAACTCCTACTGTAACTTCTCTGAGTATTTTCCTCTGGAGAGCATCACAGCAAAGCATTAACTCAGCTCTACATGACATCACCCCTCATCTGTCTTTCACATTCATATTTGTAGTCACCAGTGGTTCTCCAGGCCTTGGCTTCTGAATCACATAATAAAACTTTCAATTTTAAATTGCAGGTGAAGGCAAAAGGTTACTTCTTACTTGCACCAGAGTACTTTAGGCAGAAATAAATGTGTACTTATAAAAGACCTTGCTTGCTTTAAAGCAGGAGAGGCCCAGAATTAAGCAGTAGGGAAAACAGAATTGTTTCTGTAATGATTTCTGATGACTCAGTAAGTGCAGGTATTAGCAGAGATGGACAAATTAGTCATCTTAAAAAGGACAACATGTAATCCTGAAGACTGTAAACTTGAATGTCTCCTTGTGTGTTGGTTTATAAAAGTATCAGCACCGTTAGACATGTTAAGGAGTATGCTTCATCTCATTCAGAAATGAAAACATTTAGAAGATATGGAACCCACAAAGTCCTGCACTTCTAACAGGGCACGTGAGACAGCTTTTGTTTACAGTAGAAGCATGTCATTAAAAATTATAAAGCTTGCACAGCTCAGAAGCACACCACATAATAGTCATACTCATTCCTTTTCCATGCCCCATTCTTTTCTTTCCATACAGCTCCATATTTGCACATTGGCACATGTCGACCCATTAAAATATGCAGCTGGCCAAAGTTTTCAAAGAAACCTAATTAAAAGTGATGGTGCCCTGCAAATGGGCTGAAGTGTGACAGATCAGCCTCTCTCCATCAATTATACTCTAACAGTAGCTCTCAAAAATATGCTTTTAAGGGTTTCTCTCTGCACTTGAGACATCAAAAGTCACATTTATGGATGCATATTCAGTATTTTAAACGTACCAAGTTAAGGGATTGTAAGTAATCAGTAACTGCCACTTTATTAAATGGCTAACCTGATGAAATTTATAAATTGGTTAGCAGTCCATTTTCAACAAGTATAGAAGAGAAAGTAACTTCACTTTGTGGTCATATTCTTAGCACAATTTCTTCTACAAGAAGGAAGTAAAACTTTATTAAATTTTATTCTCTTTACTAAATTTTTCTACACACTAGAAAAAACACCATTAAAACTTATATGCCTGAAATATAGGGTTTGCCTAATTTTCTGATTTGGCAAAGGAACAGGAATTAAGGTGCAATGATGACTTTAATTATGCAATCAAGTTTACTGGAAAGTTGTGTGTAATATATATGCCTTAAAGATGTTTTATCATGCACATGCTCCATATATGTCTTAATTATGCAAGAAAATTCTAGCAGAAGTATGCTAGCAATTAGAAATTAATATTGTTATAATTAAGATTTGGTATGTTCAGCTTGAGCCAGGAGGTAATATTTAAGGGACACTTATTTCTTTACAAAAATAGACACCACAGTTTTAATGCATAAGAATAATCTTATAATGAATTATCTAAGGGGAAAAAAAAGGTTCTAAACAAGATGTGCAAAGAATGATTGTCTCAGCTACAAAACCCTGTTGGGGTACACGCTGCCAGCCACAGGAAAGGACAGATAAAACAGCTAAAACGAAGGCCTGGCAATCCCTGATCATCTCCTCATTGTTCTAATGAGGAATTCTGCTCTGGGAATGTCATCTAAGCTACTTTCACATCTTTTGTCCTACTTACTTCATCTTCCTTTCAGTTCTTAATTAGGCCTTAAAGAGCTCATGCTGCCCTTTCAACTGGCTACTGCTCCCATTTAAACGCTGCTTTCAGAGACAGGTGTTGGCATCAGAGGAGAAGACATACAAACATAATTACTAAATAATATGCACAAGGAAGAGATGGAATAACTTGGTGAGGGCTAATATTACAGAATCTAATAATAAATTACTTCAAACACCTTAGAAAGCAATCCTGAATATTTAAAAGGAAATTCAAATGGTTTCATTCAAAACTCTGGTTGAGATAGACTTTCTTCCCCACCTAATTTGTATTTTGCATTAAATGAGCACCACCTCATAATCCTATAACAGACATTTAGGGTGGCTGGTATTCCAAAAGAAAAATCATCAAGGATTTCTTTTATCACCTTTAAATCCTTTAAATAAAACAATTCACATCTTATTTCTTAAAAGAATTAAACCGATGCTTTTACCAGCAATAAATTACATGATTTGCAGTAGTACATTTGCAAGCACATAGAAACTGTAATTATGGTTACTTTACAGACAATGGCTGCTAAGTTAAATCAATTTTTTGATGTCTCTCTTTGTCAGAGATTAAGTAACTGCCTGGTAGAATTCAGTTTACTATCTGATCAAAGGCAGACTTCAAATACTCTGACATCTCCCACCAGCTACTTACATTATAAAAACTTGGGCATTTACAATAACATCAAATGTTATTACAAATCATTTACATAAACCAGCAGAAAACAAACAGTACAAAGTCATATTTGCTTGTGAAACTTGTTTTCTATATATTTTAGAGATTGAAAACAAACCCACTTTTAAAGATGTCATCTATTCACAGAACAAATTCTAGTAAGACCACATTTTCCTTCAAACAAAGACACTTTCCAGGCAATCTGTGGATTATTTTTTGTTTTTTCTTAGTACACAATTTATTCTCAGTACTTTTAGAAACAAGAGCATTTTCAATACCTTCTAGCATTTATATTTTTTCGTGTTTTCATCCGTTCATTTATTATGTGTATTATTAATCCTACCATTTATCAGGTAATAATTTTAATTTTGATCTGCCTTCTAAAGACTGTTCTCAAGTCTCTGATTATAGTGATGGTAAGCTCCAGTCTGGTCAATTAATAAATCACTGCCTAATGCAGAGTTCCTCACCTGACCATTACTTCTCTAGAGTCATCTAAACCACTCCTAAATTCAGGTTTTGTGCAAAGAACTAAATATTTCCTTTTTCAGCATGTCATAGCTAAACCCCATCCTGAGTGCAAAACTCTTCTTTATTTCCAAATTTACATTAAGCCTGTGCTTTTCTACTTAGGTTTTCTGGATATGTCAAAAAAATAACCAAAAAAACCTCAACATTTCCATATAAGAGGTTAAAAAAGAACAAAAGCTTATAAGCTTATACAAGTATAAATTAACTGGCATTTACTGATGGCTTTCCATAACATTTCATAACTCACCGTTTTTTTCCTGAGATCCTCAGAGCCAGAAGGATTCACATTAAAACTGTGGGGAAAAAACCACACCAAACAAATATTAGCACATATATTCTTTGTTCACAATTCTTATATTTTTCATATTCTTTTTGTCATCAAATTTGAATAACTAATTAAGAAATGCAAGAAAGGCAATTATGGATTTGGCTTCCTTATCTCTCCTCTTATCTCGAGACTTAGCTTGAGCTTCTAAGCATGGAGTGCTACTTTAAATGAAATATCCTAGAAAGAGGTCCCTGGGATGAGATTGATAAAAACCAACAGCCAAACCCTACAGACTAACTCATATTCCCAGCTTTCATGGCAGCCCCTAAAGGACAAAGTTCCTGAAGAAATTCCAGTGAGATCACCAGCTTAGGGCTAAAAAGCCATTTTCTGTCAGCTACATTTATTTTGTACTTAAAACTGAGTAAATAATCTATTATTTTATAAACCTAGTGATTATTGTGCATATCCAGAAAGAAAAGCTCTTTCATAATGTTGTTGATACTGATAAAAACAGCCACTGTCTAAATGTCAGGCTTAAGAAACTATCCACACAGACTGGTGTAATTATTAGCAAGTATCTTCAAAAATCAAAAATGCTGTGTTCTTATGTACTTGCTACAGCAGGTTTGGAGAGAAAACATTCTCTCCAAAAAATATGTTCAAAATCTGGATATGGCTCACAAATATTATTTACTTGGTAGCACCACGGCAGGCACATTCTCTCACAACACAGAATCTGTTTTGTTAGACTGCATGTACTGGCTTTGAGAGTGATGTGTGACTGAGAGCTACAAAAACATATATATATATTTTTTCTTTTTAATTGTGAAGATTTTTTGTATTAAGGAACATGTATTTTATGACTGCTCACCACTCTGTTATCTGAATTTATAAACCACATATTTCATGGTGTAAAAGTGGAAGGGCAAAAAAATTTATGAACTAAAAAGACGTTAAAAAAATTATATAAATTTGTGAACTAAAATACCTAAAATATATATATTTTACATACATATATATATAAATTTATGAACTAAAAATACATAAAATATAAATGAAGGTATTTTTCTGTAAATAATATTTTTTTAATTTTTTTTTTTTAAGTGTGTACACAATTTTTAATTTCCAAAAGCAGGCTCACACAGAAATCCTGTAAACCACCAGAGGGTATTTGACTGGATTAGAGGAACAGTCCCAAGCAGACACCCAGAGGTGCCATTAAGCCTAATTCCCATTCCACCTGTGTGTCACAGTGATCCCCAGCAGCCTGCCCCGTTTGCTGAGAGCCCTTTTGAACGAGGAGCCTTTTTCACGGGGCATTGTGTGCCCAGCCAAAGGCAGGGTCCCTCCCTCCCAGCCTCCTTTCAGCCCCACTCTGATGTGTCAAACACATGATGAACTCGCTCCATTCATGGCTGCCTTCCGTGATCCCAGCACAAAAAAAATGAGTTAACTGAACTGGATCGAATTAGCTTGGTGAAAACCAAGAATGTCTCTATTTAACGAAGTGTGGCGTTAATTTGGGATATCTTTCTTTTGGGACTGTTTCCTCATGTTAGACAAGATATAGAATAATGCAGCCTGACTGCTCAACTGGGGGGCTTTCTGAAAGGTTAAAAAAGCAGGATCTTTCACTGCCTTGAATGACTTTTTAGTTTCTGTGAAATAAGTTCTGGGACTGTTTTTTGTAGTGGTAGCTTAAAATGAAAGCAGCAGTTCTGACTATGAGAAGCTGCATTTCAAAATTAGGACTATAAATCACTGGCAATATGGACTAGTTGTTTGGGGTTTTTTTTTAAGCAGTAAAAAACCTGCAATAATTTCTGCAAAATTGTGGACATCATAACTGCAATTTCAAAAGAGAACATCTGCGTATTTTGCAAGAAGAAATTTGAATACACTTGCAAAAAAAAAAATGAAAAGCTATTAAAATACTCCCCAATAAAAATCCAAATGCTATGAGGGCTCTTACTCATACTTTAAGGAGATTCATAGAAAATATACTGCTTCTCAAGGAAGCAGCAGGTGCTGAGATTGCATCTAATAACATTTTTCTAAATCGAGGTGTCTGCTAAGTAAGGTGGGAGCTCGTCAGCCTTGCTGAGCCCTGCAAAGTTTCCTGCCAGTGCCCCAGCCCGAGGTGAGTGTGAGAAGATGCAGATTCCCACCACTGCACCCCTATTTCACTGTCTGAGGGGCAGGTAACACCTCAAAAGAACATCCTATAAAATTAGGAATGCAAACAGTTGGTGGAATTGTCTTTTTGGTGTACTGAAGTTCACGAAAGCATTTATTTTTTAATTTAAATTTCATCACAATAATACACCCCTAAAGTTACCACCTCACTCAATTACTGGCAATAATTATATAAAACAGGCCTCTAGGACTGCAGCCCATGCTGTACAAGAAGCACAAGCTTCCTTTAAGCAGCCCAAAAGCATTCTGAAATCGTTGATCTGAACAGTTATAAAAAATAACATTGTTTTGAAATCATTGATCTGAACAATTATAAAAAATAACATTGTTTTCTGCTGTGTTACACTCACAGTTCATAGTGATAGTATTAATTATAAACCAGTCTCTGGGGTTTTTTCACAGAGTTTGATAAACTGGCAGGGAACTCCTGCTATGGAAGAAGTTCCCATGTTCACTGATTAGGAAAAAAATATCTTTTTTGGATTTTTGTAAGGTTTTTTTGAGTGAGGCTTACTATGAACAGTGATTGTGAAAAACTGGCACTGTGGGATTCGATAATTATTGTTTGTCAATTATACCCAAACAAAATTTGCTCAGTTTGCAAGTAAAAAAGATATTTCTTTTCTAACAAATGGACTTTTCATGTGCCTTCAGGTGATGCCTCATACTGATTTTTAACAGTTTGCCTCTTACCAGTAATAAATTTTCATTGTCTCAGATCACCTTCAAGGAACTACTAACAGGGAGGTAAATCCTTCCAGCACAGATTAAAAATCAGCTGCAGCAGCATCATGGAAGTGACACTGAGCCCCCAACTCCCACATCCCCCTAACCCTTCTGTAGGCAGAACAACTTCTCCAACCCAGCACAATTATTCCTGTCCCCCATTTCACTCAGCTGGGAATTCAATTGGTGTCCTTGACAGTTACTTTATATAACAGACATTTTTACCAGATTAAATCATATCCATTATTTTATTGTTCCATATTATTTTACAGCTTTGGATATAACTTTCTTTTTACATTTTTCTTAAATAGTAAAGTTTGTTTGAATTTCTGGGGTTTTGTCGGCTAAGATTTCAATTTTAGCTCATCTGAGCTGAGAACCCTTTCCTATTGTCCTGCTCCTGAGGGGAGAAAGTGATGAGAAATAAAAATAATATAAACAAATAATGGAGACAGACATACTGCAGGGCTGATTCTGTAGAGTGGTCTGGGTTGCTATTTCATAATCATAGCAAGCATGTTATTTTGTACTTTACTGTTATTTTCTCTGTTTAAAAACATTTCATTAGAACTAATTGAAACTTTTTTTTAAATAATATTTTTTATGGTAATTAAATACTTCCATTGCATGTTGATAATTTACAGATTGTAAAGGAAGAATATGGTGGAGCTGAGTTCAGGAGATGTCACAAGCTCAGGTTTGTGACTGCACCTTACAATTTTGCCTATTGAAATTTAACAGTAGTTAAAAATTCAAACATCAGGTCTAGGGGCTGCATAAATATTCTGAATGCCTAGAGATTAAAACAGTCTTCATCAAATCTTTCCTATAACTGATTTAAACATTTTAGTGGCATTTAGTCTGACAACATAATGAATGGGAATCAGACTCCTAAATTTGCTCCATGGAAAGTGTATTTTCTTAAGGACCAAAAGCTTTTTACTTACTTTTTGCTATTCCTATTAGTTACATGATAGTAGTAACTAATCTAATAGTAGTGTATACTATTAGAAATTAAAATTAGGATATTTAAATTAATCATTACTATTCAAAGTATTAAAATTTATGTTAACTTAACATTCTGTAAAACATCTATTATACCAATGAGCTAAGTATGAGCTTTCTGTTTCTTTCTGCACACAGGTAATTAGAAAAGCTCTGCCATATTCATTTTTCACTAGAGTTGAAATTCCTATTCCTATCCTACTTCTTGATCTTTGGACTGATTCTGACTACAGTGCTAATGATTTTTTCTTTGGATTCTCACAACATATATCAAAATCTTGAAATATTAGGATGCCATTTAGGTTATTACTATTGCACAAGGAAATAAAAAAAAAGAAAACCAAAACCAAAAGAAATGAATAAAATCAGATACAGTTAATGAAATTCAGAAACTTAGCCTTCCATAGAAAATCAGCCTGCTGTGTCTGGCAATGCAGAGCTCACTTTATATTCTGAGAAGGAATGACTGTCTTGTCTGGCAGCTAAACAAGTACAGAAAAAGCATATTACCATCTATTTTGCAATTAGATGCTGGGGAACAACACTTAAGACACTTCACTGTATAAATTGCTCTGCTGTCAAGCCATGTCCTGTGGCCTTTTGGAGCTTGGGTAACCCCAGGAGGACACAAAAAGAGGATCAGGTTTTGTGGCTCTCACTACCTTTTCTTGATTAGTTAGAATTCTAAGTGTATAAATATTTCTCCTTCTACTAGGAGTTGTGCTACAGCAAATAAGTTTTTTTCTCAAGAGACCACTAAAGAACTGTTAGACTAAAAGTTGTGCCAGGATCTCCACTGGAAGACCCTATTATTAGAGATCTCTAAGTCAACAACAAACAAATCAAACAATCCTAAAATTATATTTTACACTGAAACTTACAGATCCATTTTTGAATTATTAAAAAAGTAGAACTAATCCTTAGTTCTTATAATGAAACAGAAAAAAAAAAACCTGCTTTGCTTTTACATAGTTTTGGCATTTATTAATAAAGAAACAATAGAACAAATTATTCTTTTTTAAAATGAAATAGAACAGGCAGTACATTCTCCCTTGGGAAAGATAATATGCCTCATGCATCCTCTCAAAAAAAGAT